TACCAGCTGTCCATGATGTTCCACGATGATCGACGACTAATTGTGGTAAAAAATACGAAAAACTTCCCGTCCCAACTGTCAATGAATCCCCGACACTGCCGATTACATCTAAGTCACCGGGTCTTAATTCATGTACAGATGTTGGCCTCGTTTCAGATCTAGTGCCATTGATATTACAAAAAAATTGTGTTGATTTCAGAACTCGTTCTTGTGTTTTCTGAAAAAAAAAAAAAAAACATGGAACGTCTTAAGTCTAAAATACCATTGATGATAGTGCTCGTATCTCGAATGAAATTAACTTTATACGAACATGTAGCATTCGAGATTTGTCTATTTGATGCTGTGAGCTGAACATGTTTTGTAAAAAAAGCCTAGTAGGATATAAAATTTTGTCTTGAAGCTGTATAACGGATTTTGGTATACCCGTCAAATTATCATTAGATATCTGATGTGTCCATTTCGGTGATTGAAAGATTGGTCTCCAAGTCAATGTTACAGTACAACACCACAAAAAGCACACGCTAATTGCTATTATATCTGATAAAAAAATGAACATTATTTAAAACTTCAGGTCTATTTTCATAGAATAATTCAATTATTTTTYAGATTCATGGTTAAAATCATTAATATTTTCTTTAAAGGCGCTCTAATACAATAATTAATGATTATATATTGACATATATAAACAATTTCAAATAAAAATATTTTTTTCTTGGATATAAAATGGTTCACAAATATTTTTTTTTAGATTCTGAGCTAAATTATAAAAAATAAAATTTGAGTATGAAGTTAGGCTGGGATGTTTAAAAAACAATTTTCAAGAAAATAAACCATAAACTTGAAATTTTAAAGATAGGTGTGATAAGATTAAAAAAGAATCTTGTAAATTTATTAAAAGATAATTGTGAAATGCTCAAATTTTTATTTTCTAATTTTATTCAATTTAGCATTCCTCGCTGTAAGTAAAATATTTAGATATTTTTTTAACATAATGGTTCCTTATACATTTATCARCTGAAAATAAATATCGAAAATATATAGTTACAATTAAATGAGTCATTAGTTTAATATCAAACCATGTAATTTTTTATGATTTTCATTTTTTTATTTTGAAATTCTTTAAAATGATGCTCTATTGAAAGCACCGCAAATTCAGAAATGTTGGTAACACTATATTATATATTGGTTTTTGTTTCGCCATTCTAGAGTCATTAGAAAGAACATAATACTCATARCAAACTATTAAATAAAATTTGACAAAAAAATAATGTAGATCATAGTGTACGTAAGTGTCATCGGTGGGTGGCTTCTTCATTCAAAATGTCATATATTGTCATTGTCATTAGCTCATATTCTTATTGTGCCGATTGCGTACAGATTGTGTATTATTAATAAAGAAAAAAAAAGATCATAATGTTAAAAACCATTTAAATTTGTTTATTCTTATACATTCTTGTTGCGATTCAAACACTGATGTTTGTTACTTACAGACACTTAAAAATTTCACCAATATTTGCATCTGTATTTTATGGACATGATAAAATATTTTTATTTTAGATTCTGAGCGGAGCGAGGAATTTATTGATTTTACCATGATGTGTGTGTTTTTTTTTGTGTCTGTCGTCACGTTTTGGAGCAGTAAAAGTGCTTCAATTTATAACTTCAGTACCTCGTTCGACCAAGAAGTGAATCTAGTTGGTACTTTGGGGGTAATTCT